ATATATTTTATTTAAATTTCAAAGTGTCACATTCCACCGCTCTTAAAAAAATCTTTGTCCCCGAAGCACTCACTTATTCAAAGAATGTTACGTTACAAATAATGCAATATAAGTGTGCGTTAAAGGCTCCGATCCGTATGTTTAAATAATAAAATCACACTTTATTAAATTTTATTATTGTTATTATTATTTTTATTTTATTTTGTTTTATTTGCATTTAAATTTTTGGGGTGTCACAGCTTGCTTCACTGATTGAGGTTCAACATGTGCTAATAGCAAGGTAGGATTAAGTCTAGGTTTAATAATTTCTGATTTTGCTCTAGTTTGCATAGGATGAGTGTTAGTTATATGAACAAAATTGGAAACTGAGGAAGTAGAGTCAGATGATGGAGAAGAAGGTGGTTGTAAGGGTGGACTGGGAGTAGAGTTGTTGGAATTTATCGAAGAATTATTAGTGGAGGAAGTAGATGAATGGCTTGCTGATTGACTCTGATTATTAGAAGAGATGGGTTGGGAGGCAGTGGGCTGGGAATTATTGGATGGGAGGTTATGATACTGAGACTGTGAGTCAGTGAATGGGAGGTCATGAAGCCGGGATTGAGATGAGTCAGATCCAGAAGGAGGATTTGAATTTAAAATAGTTAATAAGGCTGAATCTGGGTCATGAGTAGGTTTGATTGTGGGAATGGAAGATTGAGATACAGATGAATAGGGAAAAATGGATTCATGAAATATGACATCCTTTGAAATGTACACTCTGCCAGATTTGGAAAGACACTTATAGCCTTTATGCTGAGAGGAATATCCTATGAATATACACTCTTATGAGTGAAAATCCAACTTGTGTTTATCGTAAGTTCTGAGTAAAGGATAGCAAGTGCAACCAAAGACTCTTAAGAGAAGAATAATCTGGGACAGATCCATAAAGTTTAAAATATGGGCTGGAATTGGCAATGGACTTAGATGGAGTTATGTTGATAAGATGCACAGAAGTTGAAAAGGCAGCATCCCAGAACTTAAAAGGTAAAGAAGAGTGGGCTAGGATTGAGAGACCTTTTTCAACAATAGTGCGATGTTTCCTTTCAACCACACCATTTTGATGATGAGTGTGAGGGCATATGATTCTGTGGGTGATTCCTTTTTCATTGAGGAAATTAGTGAAGGATCTAAATTCCCCTCCCCAATCAGACTGTACAGATTTTATGGACATTGAAAATTGATTGAGAATCAAGTTGTAGAAATTTTGGAATGCTAGAAGAGCATCAGACTCATTTTTCAGGAAATATATCCATGTATATCTGGTCAAGGCATCAATAAAGGCTATATAATAGGAATATCCATCAAAAGATACAATGGGTGCTGGACCCCAAAGATCTGTGAATATTACTTCAAAGGGGTTATGATAAACAGTATTAGAAGGATGTGAAGGAAGTCTATGTGCCTTCCCAAGACAGCAAGCAGAACAGAAATCAACATCAATGTGATTAATAGAAGACACATTACAGTGTTTAAGTACATATTTAAGTGCCTCAAGATGAGGATGACCTAGTCTGAGGATGAACTGCAGCAGTTGGACATGGACCAAGAGGAATGAAAGGAAACTTGTATAAGACATCTTCACCAAGTTTTTCATGCAACAAGACCTGTTTAGAAACCTGAGATTTGACATAACAGTCATGAGGATAAAATTCAAAGAAGACATTATTGTCCTTGGCAAATTGACTAACACTCGGTAGATTTTTAGTTATATGAGGAACATGAAGTATATTATTCAGTAAGAGTGATTGTGATGAGTGATAGGGTGATGGAAAGGAAGAAAAACCTATAGACTTAATATCCAAACCTTGGCCATTTCCCATGAAAAGCTTGTCAGATGTGGCAATAGGCTCACTGTGCTGGAAATTCAGTGGATTTGCAGTTACATGGTGAGTTGCTCCTGAATCTGGAAACCAATGTTGATTAGATGGAACAGGACCAAGTACTGAATGATTAGCAGTGGCATAGTTTGCAGTTGGTAAAGTATTAAAAGGTTGCTGATGTCCCCAGTTGAAGGTTTCAGGAGGTGGATTGGCAAGCTGATGATTCCACGACTGATTGAGTTTTGATTGTATAGACTGAGTTTGAAAGGTGTATGGTTTAGATTGATGAGTATAATGATTTGGAGGATAGTGTGATTGTGAGTTGGGATTCCAGTAGGGTGGAGGTCAAGAGGTTTGATTTGGGTAATTAGGGTTTTGAGAAGAAGGATTGGGGTTTGGATTGGTATAAGCAGGATTGTATCTGTGGTAGCAAATCAAGGCATGGTGACCTGATTTTCCACAGACTTGACAAATGATAGAATTACGTCCAGAGTGACCACCGTTGCCTCTGTGATAACAACCACGACCACGTCCACGGTAAGAATTACCACTATTTGGGTTATTATACTGAGAAACATTTGCAGAGGCATTTTCAACAGTAACAGAGATTTCAGATGAAGTGTTCTGAGAGGAAGCATCAACCTGAGCAACGTTAGCAGAGATATACTTTGCTGAGTAGTGTCATGATGTTTCTTAAGTCTCATCTCTTTTGCTAGAAGCAAGGACTCAAGCTCAGCTATGGTGACTAGTTCGAGAATACTGCGAGAAGTTACAGAGGACACAAGAGCTTCATAATCTTGTGGCAATCCTTCGAGAATAACATTGATATGATCTTTGTTCACCTACGAGAATAAGGTTGTTAACAATTGTCTGAATTCGAAGCGGGTACTCTGAGATGGATCGTTCCCCTTTTCCTGTGTTATAGAGTTCGGATTTGAGCTGTCTTTCCCTAGCAACGATGTTAGCTTGGAAGAAATTGTGAATCATGCTCCAGAGTTCATACGATCGCTGGCAATGAATAATACGAGCATGTAGGGTTTCGGATAGAGATGAAAGCATCCACGCGAACAATATCTGATCCTGTTGATCCCAGAGAGTGTAAGCCTCATTCACAGTCTTCTTTCCACCTTCATCGGTGATGAATTGCTCAGGAGTCTTCGAATTCTCTATGAACCGCACGAATTTGTGCGCACGAATCACAGATTCAATGTGATGTTTCCACAAAAGATAGTTATTCAAATCTAATTTGATTGGAAGAGGGTGAGTGAATCAGTTTCCGACATGGTTGATCGAGCTAAAGCTTTGATACCATATTAGAAAATGAACTCAGATAGAAGAAAGGAGAATCAAATCTTATTGATCATAAGAGTCAGTACAAGTATTTATAGTAGAGTACAAGTAACTAACTCTAACAGCCTGTGTAACAGCAATAACAACCCAAAGTATATCTGGAAGGTCTAAAGCTATTTACAATATACGTATGTAACATTATTCCATATTCCTAACAGATTAGGTGCAGGTCCCAGTACAGAGTTATTAGCATAAGCCCAAGCTGGAGATGGATGATAGCATGAAGTGTTGAAATGAGCCTGCCAGTTAGATGATGAGGTTTCAAAGGAGATAGGATTCTGAATATGGTGATTAGAAGGGGATGGATTATACTGCATCATAGGTGAGATAGGTAATGGTGCAAGTGGAGGTGGTCTAGGTGCAGGATACTGAGAGTAAGCAGATGGGGATTGTGTTGAATGAAAATTAGGGTTGAAACGATGATAACACATGAGAGCATTGTGTCCTGGCTTACCACAGACCTGGCAGGTAACTGAGGGAACGTCCACCTGATTTGCCTCCTCCGCGATAGCCACCTCTTTGATTAGAATGGCGTCCTCTTCCTCTGAATTGATTTCCACCTCGTTGAGCATGTTCAAACTGAGCAAATTGAACTGAGTTTTCTTGAGAATTCTGTTGCTGATTAACTTGTTGCTGATTGTTGTGTTGTTGATTGTTGACAGAGAGATCTTCAAGGCGAGCCAGATTAGCTGAGAAGAGTGTTGATTGAGAAATTTGTGACGCATCACGCAGTTTACGAAGTCGTAGCTCCTTTGCAAGGAGAAGTGATTCAACTTCAGAGTATTTAGCCGGGTCTAAAGCACTGCAAGCAGAGATCGATGACACAAGTGACTCGAATTCCTCAGGTAATCCTTCAAGTATTACATTGATATGATCCTTTTCTGAAATTGGTTCGCCAATGGACATCAGATCATCAATGATTGTCTGAATTTTGGATAGACTCCGTTATGAACCAATCACCTTTGACTATCGAATACAACTCGGACTTGAGTTGTCTCGCCTTAGCAATGATATTTGATTGGAAGAATTTGTGGAATTCATCCCAAAGTTGATACGAACGAGAGCAGTGAATTTGTGGAGTTCATCCCAACGTTGATACGACTTGCAGATAGAGACGATAGAAGCCACAAGAAGAACATTTGATCCTGCTGCTCCCAGGTAACATAAGCTTTGTTTATCATCTGACTTTCTTCTTCGTTTTCACCAGCGGCGTATCGCGACGGTATCTCAGGATCAATAACATACTTCAGGAGTTTGTGAGCACGAAGAACGGATTCTACGTGATGTTTCCAGAAGAGATAGTTGTTTGAATCAAGTTTCAGAGGTAAAGGATGTGAAAAACTCACCGGAAATGAAGAATTTCCGGCGGCGAAAGTGACGGTAGTCATCAAGGAAGAAACCATGACCGCGAAACTCACTGCTCTGATACCATACAACGGAATTCAAGAGAAATGATTAGAACATTATTATATTGTGTAGTCCACTTTACATTCTATTTATAGAAAAGGAATAGAAACTGCTAGAATCTAACTATCATACAAGAGACTAACAGTAGTCGGCTCAGTTAGGTATAATTCTAACCAACTATATTCCTAATAACAACAAATAAACAAAACCACTAACATACTTTTCCCATAAGATGGTTACTCTTTTTTTTGTAGAAAGATGACTACTTGACTACACAGTGCAATACTTCAATGTACTTAGGTTATTACATGTTTACAACTGACTATACTCAAGTCTAATAGATAAAGTTAATGTAAATAATATACCTACTATATTTAAGTATAAGAACATTGACCATAACAAACCAAGAAAGTCCATACACCTGCCACAGATGGTTTTATGGTAAATAGTTAAAGATAGATAACAAGATTGACATTCGTGGAGAGAAAAATGCTATGGAGACAGTAGCATTACCAGTACACTTATTCTTCCATGGGCTATATCAAGGTGATATACAACTCCATATTGGTAAATGAAAAATCAAAGTGAAAGGATGATCTCGAACAATCTACCCTTTATACTGGTGTGCTTGAGATGCTCTTGTTCTTCATCACACTAGGATCCCCAAATTTATCAGCAGAAATCCCAATGCCACCACAGTTCCCTATCCACATCTTCCGGTCAATCCAATCATCCACCGTTTTCTGCTAGTCGTATCCAGATGGATTGAACACGAAAGGAGCACACAGCCACGTCCCAACTAAAAAGCACATTGATACAGTTATTAACCAGTACAACTTGGAACTCCGATATGATTCCCCGTAGACTTCATAAACAACTAACAATATCAATAGCTTGAGATCCTTTACAAAGTGACTGCGGGAGTAGAGTCTGCAGTTATCAGCATACTTGGCATGGAAAACAACAAAACCACGACCAGTAACCCGGTACTTGGAACCTTCATGTAGAAGAGTTCTGCCATAGTAATGCGCTTTTGTTCCTAGCTGGAACGTGAAGAAAACAGAAGCAAGTTGCAATTGCATTACTATGAAATCACGTATAACAGTGAGAAATCCTTTCTCCAATCCAATTTCCAATACCATAGGAAATACTAGTAATAAACCCAGCTGAAACACAGATTGGGTCACCAAATCCCCTCGAGAGCCTTAGCCTCACTAACAGAAGGATCCTCCAGAATCCGTTTTCCAACCCACTCAAGACCATATACAAATGTCCATATAAAACTTCATAAACGGTTAACATAGTAACCTAGAAAAGACGTGAATCATATCAACTCCAATGTGTTTTAGTGACAACCACAAGAATGAATGATACACATAGTAAGGACCACGTTTTACTTACCATGCTACTTAAGTAGAATGATAACATCCTATAGAAGTCAAATCGGCGTCAAAGCCTGTATACATCACGTCCCTTGCCCACTTGAATATATTCATGCTGGGTCACATATCCTCCTCGTAATGTTGAATTGTAATCTGAAGAGTTGACCCAATAAAACACTAAACGATACTTGTAAAAGTGCAGTTTGTGCAAAGAACTTCACCCTCAAGTTAATAGTTTTTTAGGCTTTGCTTATGCCACCTCTTGTCAAATGAAAGATCCTGTCAAATATATCAGGATGGCCATAGTGGAACCTCACCCTGTGAAGCAAAGTCTGTTAACTCTTTTAATATTCAATCTTTATTATTCAGGAATTTATAATACATGTGAAATTGCATCTAATGCAGTCAGGCAATAAAATATGAGAACAAACCGATACGAACGCCATCTGTTATATGTACCATATAAAATCAGTATAGAAGTCCGGATAGAAGGGCAAAAATGCTAACATTAAAGGGCTTGTCATGCTCTCAAGATATACGGCATTTCATTTCATTTGAAGCAATAACATCTTGACCTTGGCAGCAACAAATTCCTAAACACTCGTATTGCATACGTTTCGCATTGCAGTACTAGCAATTAAGGACTTTGGAGAGAGTAAAGGGTATTTCACGGTACTTGTAACTGGAAAGATGAGCTAATGAATAGGTGTTCAGTAAGATGGAGTGTTGAAATAGGTGTTCGGTGTTTTTGATAGATAAGGTTAAAGTAGGTATTGGATGTTTTTTGTCAACTGGAAATGATTAGTGATGGAAATATATTGTTAAGAATTAGTAAGGAAAGAATAACCTTGAAGAATAAATATCAATTGTTAAGGCAGTGATGTATTAATTGGATTACCATTTGTCTTTTTTGTTTTTTGGTCTGCATGATATCGAAGCCTAGACCTAAAATTCATCTGTGCTCTGCTAGACTGATATATATCATTATGCATTGAGCACTCTCCTATTCCCATGTTCTATTAAGAAATGTATTAATGGAATGTTATAAAGCCTAATGAGTTATAATGAGATGTCCAAGTACAAGTAGTCTACTGGTCATGATGACTATAGTAAAAGATAATTACAAACTAACCGAAATGATGTGGTCTTGGCAAGAAGTTTGGTGAACCTGTAAAAAATAATGCAAAGTATGTTAATAAATTTTTAAAATATTGTTAAATTAAACATGGTTATCTTATGCCTCTGGTTATATTAACATTGTTCACTACACACATGTCTAGATAAAAAATTGCCATTCTTTGATGACTGTTAAAAGTTCAGAGGTACTGGTAAACAAATGTCCAACAACATGAATGTATATTTGAATTAACAAAGACATATAATAAGTAAGGAACACATAACTACCTAATATTAAAAGTACTTAATAAACTATCTATTACAGCTTTCCACATAATACATCAAAACTTGAATAGTCATTAGTTTCCACACTTCTCAATCTTTTGTCTCTCGCTACATGGTTATCTTATGCCTCTGGGAAAAACTTATGCAAAGAATAACAAATTTTGCTTCGGAAAACACCAATTATTTAGCGTTACAACAATTTTGTAAACTGAAAGCTTAACTGCTGTGGAATAAATAACTTGTTCCAAAGCAAATTATAATCATGGATGTCCATGTGAATTTCAGTGAAAGCAATTTGTAATTGGAATCTTAACAGTTTTTTTTGAATAGTGAAGGTATATAATGAATGACAGATGTTAAAAGAGATGACTCTATGAGATCAGTTGTAGCAACAATTGTTTTTGTCTTCCTGCAAGATATGAAGTTTTGTGAGTAAATGAAGGCAAATGCGACTAATGCTCAATAAATTATTATTAAAAAACATGTACATTAAACATTCTTTAACCTGATTAGTGTGTGCTATTTTTTTATTGCTTCTTAATCTTCACGTCCATACCTACATAGGTTCCTTTGTATGTACTAAACTTTAGAAAATGTTTTGTAAATTTTTGAGGCCAACACATTAGAAAAGAAAGTTAGAAACAATCATTAAGTAGTTAGCATAACACAATGCTTGTAAAGCTCTAGTTCTGTAGCAATTGGGAAGTCAGGAATGGCGGGACCAAGCAAGAATCACTCAACTTTCTAGGAAATAATAATATAAAATTGGTAGAAAAATATAAGAGGGGTTTATTTACTTTGGTTTGATGTATTTGGACTTTAAAGGACTTCACTATATATTTATTTGAAAGTACAGGGCAACTGTTTTGTGGAACTGGGCCAAGTAGATGCATCCCTCAACCTTGGTTTGTGTTTGACTGTATACAATCAGGTTTATAGTGCCATTTAAACAAACTTATCACAAGTTTGACCACTAAAAATGGATCGAGACCAACAAGTGTAGAAGTCATTTGTGTTAGCACAAAGTTTACAATGCCAATTCCTTGCAGCCTAAAGGCCCAGTAAACGGAAAGTATATATGAATTCATCATCATCATCATCCCAGTGCCGCAAAGGCTCACACCTAAGGTGGGGTAAGGGGGGGTCGATGTACGCATTCTTACCCCTGTACTAAAGCACATAGAGGCTATTTCCGAATGACCTATAGTGAAAATCGCGTCGAAAAATACATGAAATGACTGTTACTTCACGATAAAGACACATAGACAGTTTAGTGAGACATTTTGCTTTATTCCGTCATATTCTCAAGCCAAAAAATAGTGAATCTTTGGCTCCATTGCAAATGATGGAAAGTATATATAAATTAACTGAGATAATTAGTTAAATGTACACATGCACATTAACTGAGAAGGAAATTAAAAATATTTTCTCAGACATGATAGGTCAATGATTTCCACTATGGCTTTGAAATGTTCCAAATAAGGTCATTAGTTTTGACATACCTGTTTTTCTTACACTCTGCCTTAGCAAGGTTGTGAGATATGTTAACAGTTATTGTAATATGACAGGAAATTCGGTGAGGTTTTTCAGCAAACACTTGGTAGGCATGAAATAACTTCTTTTTTTGAAAAACAACAAACCCACGCTTGACGCTTGTGAAATTCTGAAAGTGTTGATTAATAGCAACATTCAAAGAGGATTATAGCAGCAGCATATTTCAATCAGTGTGCTGGCACAAGTTCTTTTCATGTATTTTGTTTGAAAGTTGCATGGAAAGTAGAGCATTAGTTGTTTTAGGAGTAAGGCATAGCGTTGACAGTTTGGTGTTGTCTTTGTTAAGGCTTTGGGTGAAATTTAGAACACTCAATTCGTGCATATCACAGGAGTTGTGCAATACCAGAAATAGATGAATATAGAAGTGCAAGCGCAAAAATACATCTTCGTTTCGCAGAATAAGATGAAGGGGAAGAAAGTGATTCTCTTCGTTTGGAAGTCATCAATCTGATAACTTTGACGAACGGTTGATGGCTGATTGATCATCGTAAAAGGCCTGTTAACAGCGACATTAATTAATTTGAGATGTTTCCGTCTGAATTAATTAAAGGTTAAATAAATTTGACGGAAAAAGGCCCAAGCTAACCAAGTTAACAGCGACATTATTTATTCTTATTTAAACAATGATAAACAGAGATTAATATAATATATAGGGTAGGCTATACATGTAAAATCGAGCTCTAATTCCCCGGCACGACATTGCCCGCCTCCAAGATCGGTTTTATTCAGCAGAAATCAACGGCGTAAATAAATTCCCTGAAAAATTACTGCAATTCCCTTTAAGCTAGCTAATGCCTCGCCGATCTCCGGCAAGTGAAACAAGTTAGTCTTTGACTGCCTTACGTGATTATTCAATTTCCGTTCGATATTTTGTACCGATTACTTTCTTACCTATATGACTGCAGTCTTCTAAATTGCTGATCTAAACAGTTTTTAATTTCACATTGTTTATGATCTGCATCGAAAAAACCCAATTTTTGCTGTAGAAGAGACATGAATAACATTAGTACCCGGCAAAGAAGTATTTCAGAAGGGGTTCAGCATGTGCTCAACTATCTCAAGTGTATGCAGTCCGAAAGTCCATCCTTCTTTTATGCTATCCAGGGAGATATCGATGAACACTCGGATGGGAATGTATTCTGGGCTGATGGAAATGCTCGGATAAACTGTAACTGTTTTGGGGATACCGTCAAGTTGGATACATCATACATAACTAATGGTAATGGATTTAAGGTTCCGTTTGCTACATTGACTGGCTTAAATCATCATGCTCAGCCTGTCCTATTTGGTTCTGCTATAATTTTTGACGAGTCTGAAACATCATTCGTTTGGCTTCTCCAGACTTGGCTTCAAGCAATATCTCCTCATATCCCTCTCTCCATCACTACCAGTTCTGATCGGCACGTACAGATGGCTGTCGCTCAGGTTCTTCCAAACACATGTCACCGTCTCTGTAGATGGAGCATAATCAGAGAAACCAAGCAGAAATTGTCTCATATATACCATATGCATCCCTCTTTTGAAGCTGAATTCAAAAAGTGCATCAACGAACCAGACACTATTGATGATTTTGAATCGCAATGGGGATCACTTTTATCTAGATATTACCTCATGGACAATGAATGGCTTCACTCAATGTACAATGCTCGTCATCAATGGGTTCCTATCTACTTGCGCCACACATTTTTTGGGGAATTCTTTGTTGGTGGAGATGACGACAATGATCACATGAACTCTTTCTTTGATGGGTTTTTGAATGCGTCCACTGCCATTGACATTTTGACTAATCTGCATGAGAAAGCTATTGCCAGTTGGCACGAAAAGGAACTTAAGGCTGATTTTGACACTAAGAGTAGCACTCTGATTCTAAAAACATCTTCTCCCATGGAAAAACAGGCCGCCAGTGTTTTTACTAGAAGGGTATTTTTGAAGTTCCAGGCTGAATTGGTTAATGCCCTTGCTAATCTTGCCACTAAAATAGATGATTCTGGAGAAACCACAACATATCGTGTTGCCAGATTCGGGGAAAAGCACAAAGCGCACATAGTTAGGTTTAATGACTTAGAGATGAAAGTGAGTTGTAGCTGTCTGATGTTTGAATTTTCAGGCATTCTTTGTAGGCATGTGTTGTCAGTGTTCAGAGTGAAAAATATTCCGACACTTCCTTCCCGGTACATTTCAAAGCGCTGGACACGGGATGCCAGGACTAGTGGTGGGTTAGTCCTGGACAAACATGATCTGGTATTGCCAAACAGTTCTCAAGAATCTTACACAGCTCGTTATACTAATTTACGTCAGGAAGCAATGAAGTTTGTAGAAGAAGGTGCAAAATCTATTCTTGTTTATAATGTTGCTATGGGTGCTTTGAAAGAGGCTGCAAAAAGGGTTTCCACTGAGAAGAAGCAAAGGATTTGGGAAACTCAGTTGACCAATATAGCAATTCGAAATCTTGAAATGCTTGCAGGAGATGAAAATCATACAGCTGATTCCTTGGTGAGCATATCTATGCTTTCATTCTGTTATTTGTTTTCAGCATCTAAATCAATTGTATCTCATTTTCTGAAAAAAAAATCCAATCACATCTGTATATGCACTGGTTAAATTCTAAGTTTAAAAGCTTCATGGACCTAATAGTTTTATGGTAAATTCTATGGTACCCTCAAGGTAATGTACCTCGTCCATGTGGACCCGTTAGAATATGGCAATTTGTTAGATCACTGGTTATTCTGATTTAGAGTCGTAGAGAATCAGTAAGAAATAGATCAAGAAAGAGATCAAGAAAGTGTTTATTGATGAAGGATGTGTTTACAGAATGAAGACAATGGACCATTCGAGATGCCCAATCTCCTAGCCTAGCCAAATCCAATACTTGCCTACCTTCTCCTTTTCCCCTTCCTTTCTATTTATAGTACTTCTATTTCTTTAAGGGCTGACCCATTATTCCTGTTTTACTAAATGGTCCAGAATCTTCACTTATACACTATTACACTCTTTAATACTATTCTAATATTCTTATTAGTATTATTGTCTATGTTCCTATCAATACTCCCCCCCTAAAAGACCACCTTGTCCTCAAGGTGGGTGATAGGGAACAACCATGATCTTCCACTTCAACTTCATTCTTGCACCTCTCCCCTCCCAATACTTGACTGGTTTCTGGACTTTTAGCTTCGGTACTTGAACCTTCTTCCATATGTACTTCACAGCAGGAAGAAACAGAAATCTGATTAATGTGGACATGGGAATTCTGAGAGGAATTTATATCAATGGCTTGAAGGATGAGATAAAAGCTGAGCTGAAATTACATAATCCTAATTCCTTAGCTGAGGTGATGGACAGGGCTCTAATGATTGAGAGTAGAAATGAAGCTGTTTACCTGAGAAGAAAGGAGGAAGACAGGCTATCAGGGAAGGAGAAGGGACCTGCAACTACAAAATCTCAGACATGGGTGGATGGATTTAAATCAAAAGTAGGGAATTCTTGGTCCAACAATACTGGGAAGAGTGCAGCTGAAAACAAGAGTAACCCACCTTGGTTTACTCATGGAAAGAAGGGGACATAAATATATTCCTCAGACATCAAAAGGGTGGGGCCACAATTGTCACAGCAAGAATATCAGGACAGGAGCAGGAAGGGACTTTGTTTCAAGTGTGGGGAGAAATGGAACAAGGAACACACCTGCAAATTGAAAAATTACAAACTCATACTTGTAGAAGATTCTGATGGGGAGGAAGAAGTAGAAGGAGCAGGAGTTGAAATTTCAGAAGGAGAAGAAGTTATGCTGGAATCTAAGTACATGCAGTTATCCTTCATGAACCAAGAAGGAATACCCTCTATGAGGGCTTTCAAGGTACAGGGGATTTTGAAATGGGCTAAGGGAGAGAAGCTAGTAGATGTTCTGATTGATAGTGGAGCTTCACACAATTTCATATCTCAGAAATTGGTAGAGCAGATGAATTTACCTTATCATACCACTTCTGGCTACAAATTGCAGATTAGAAATGGAGATCAGGTATTCAATAATGGCAGATGTGAAGAACTAATTTTAAGTATGCAAGGAACTGTTATTCAGCAAAAGTTTTATATACTGGAGTTGGGAGGAACTGAGTTAGTTCTTGGCATGGAATGGTTGACTAGTTTAGGGGATGTAGAAGTCAATTTTCAGAAGCATAGTATCAACTATCAAGTGGCATCAATTTGGGTTAATTCAGACCATTCAAGGGGATCCTTTGCTAAATTCTATTGAAATAACTTTGAAAACCAGGACACAGATCATAAAGGATATTGGAGTTAGTTATCTGGTGTCCTGTGAAGACAGGATAGTGGAAGAGGAGGAAGGCAATCAGAAGGACCACATTTGGAAAAGGGGTAACATGGTTCACACCATTACTAATGGAAGAGGGATGGAGGATGGGGTTGTTTGTGCTGGAAGTCAGGCTAAGGCTATGGTGGTTGATAACATTGTAGTGTTCCTGGGGGCCTTGACAAAGTCATGTTGTACTGGGAAGCTAAAGATTGCCCAAGTGTTGAAGCTAAAGATTCAGAAAGCAATGTTGTACTGGGAAGGGAGAGGCTTGAATGAAGATAAAGTTGATAGTCAATGCTGACTCCTATCACCCACCTTGAGGACAAGGAGGTTGTTTAGGGGGGAGTATTGATAGGAATAAATAATAAGTGGGCCTATTCAATATTTTAATAAAGAGTTTAATAGAAGGAATACGAAGTCTATTATTAGTTAACTAAATAGTTAATAGTTATTCTATCCCTTCTTGGATATGGACTAAAAATAGAAGGAGAGTCAGCTAAATAAGAGGGAAGTGTTCTGTTGGAAATAGGCTGGGAGACTGGGCATCTCGAATCGTCCAAGGCTACTGCATTCCTCTTTGTTCAGTTCATCCGTGATAATAAGAATTTCCGATCTTTTCTTCTTTATTTCCTATTGATTCTATAATGTCTTGAGCTAGCGATTACCAGAGATCTATCACAATTGAAAAATTTAAACATAAATGATGAAATAATGATTTGGACCAATCAAATGCATGGTACGTACGGTTTGAAAATTGATGCCACTGGTGGATCCAGTCATCCTGTAAAGGATGGGAAGGTGGGACATGGCCCCCTTGGTAAAAAGTACTCTCTCTGTCCCATTTTAGTTGTCTTACTTTCCTTTTTGGCAAGAAATATGTGGTCCATACCATTTCAATTCATTCTACTCAAACCTCATACACAACTTTTAATTTTCAACCACTTTAATGATACTTGTGCCAAACTAAAACAAGACATCCTATATGGGAAGGAGGTAGTACTTTTTTTACAAGTAAAAATAATTTATACTACGTATGTTTTTTATAGTATACATTTTTTTTACTTAAATGTATACACGAAGCACCCCCTCTGAACAAAATTTCTTATTTCTTGATACACCACTGGTTGATGTTGCCAATAAAATTATTATTGATGTTGTAAACTTGGCAGAAAATTCTGTTCAGTTTCAGAACTATAATGTTATCCGCTTTCTTTTCGAAAAGGTCAGTGTTTGAGTTAAGCCTGTTAAGGACTTGGTCTTGGAAAGAGTTGATAAAGCTGTGAAAACCAATCATACAAAAATTGCATGGTTCAATAGGTTGGATGATTAATCTATCTCTCAAATGTATAGGCATGAATAATGAATTAGTACATGTGTGATTCTTCTTTTCTGGGTAAGTTTACAGTGTTATCCAATCTTAGACAATTAATCGGTACTATAAATTACATCTCGCAACCCCAACTAGTTGGATGAAAATGGTGCATCTAAATTTGAAAAATATGTTTATCATACATTTATTCCCAGTTTCTCTGTGGCAGCTGAGTGAGAAACAGAGAAAAGTCCATGAATTGACTGCCGAGTTAGATAGCATAAATGTGAGATGTGAAATCTACCGCTCGAATCTGCTTGCTGTTCTGAAAGATATGGAGGAGCAGAAGTTAAAGCTATCAGTTAAAGTACAAAATGCTCAGCTTAGCTTAAAAGAGTGAGTTTCACGTGTTTGGCGCTTTGCTTTAATAAGCATGAGAAGAAGTAATTAAAGAATACATGGGAGTAAAAATTTAACACCTGATTTTAATCTTTCTCTGTACCTTTAAGTCATTGTTTTACATTCCTGTCATTAAGAGGCAGGTGATGAATCATGGGCATGTGAATAGAATATGTGATAGGTTAGTTTTGCATTTGTTTTTTATTGCAGATTGAATGTACAATAGTGTGTTCAATCATCATGCATAAACAAATAAAAAAAAATGTGATTTTTATAATTTATGTTAGGGCATTCGGGTTCCTAAGGGTGATCTGGCGGGCTAGTCGCCTCCTGTATCCTACGGGTCTTACTATGTACTCACCAATAGTGGCTTGTTTGGATCATATCATGAGGCTGGCCTGGTATATGAAGGCTGAGTGACAATATCAATTTAATGTTTGTTCAACCGTAGTATTAGCAAATCCAATTTGGGGATATCTTCCTATGTAGGGTAATCTATAAGGCAGTGTTTGGTTCAAGGTAATATCTTATACAGATCGGAATCTGATGCCCGAGATGTGAGATACCTATGTTTGGTTCGCGTGTTTGATTTTTTTTATGGGAATGCTACATTCCCAAAAGTGAAAAAAGTAATCACATTACCAGTCATCTTAAACCCACTAAGGCCTTAGGTTATGTTAGATTCCTGATTGCTTATTAAACTTTCTTCCAAAAAAAAACATGCTTCAATTAATCGACAATATCATACTCCCTCCATTCCGAAAAGGTTCGACAAATTGACTTTTCTTGGTCAATGACAATCAACTTTGGCTAATGATATTTTTTAATATGAAATTAATTTGAATATGAAAATTATATCAAAATGTTCCTTATTCAAAATATTATCATAAAAGTATTAAATTTAGAAATTATATAAAAATACAATAATTAAAATCATTGTCCAAAGTTCGTCATCATTGATCAAGAAAAGTCAATATTTTGCTTAAAATTATTTACTAATGTTCACTAATCTTAGTCATTTGTGCAATTAAACATACTTTGCTTAAAATTAATTCATATAGTTTTGATTTTAATTATTACTAAGTTTTTTATTTTTCTATAATTTTAATTACTTTAATTATACTACGTAGGTTGTAATGAGTTTAATGTGTTAGAGACAAATATTTAAAGGACACTTGAGTAAATCACCAAATATACAATATAAGATATCATTCAACCAAACAACTTAATGTCACATTCCATTAATCGTAATCAAACACAAATCGGTTATACATTAATCACATTCTCATTTATCCAACATACCCGGTAATCTAACATTCTCGTGGTAGTCTACTAGAAACCCTGTCTAGTAGACTGTCTAGCTAATCAACATAGCATTCATAACACAAAATTGTACACGTATTCACACTATGTTTTCAAATAAACATATTTGGTTCATCTCTAGTAAATGGCATGGAGCAATACAACATAATTGGAGTGTTAATTCATTGGGAAACAAAACTTTAGTATGTCATAAACTCAGAAAAATATACAGCAGCTTACCCATACTAATTGCAGGACTCCCAAAATAAAAGTACAAGAATTAGGTCAATTTTTATAAAAAGTAGCCATTCACGAACTAATTTCAGAAGGTTAGAGGAGTACATAATTTAAGCAAGAATAAGAATATATAGTTAACCTTTCATTCCTATAACATTCATTCTTTTTTTTATCCCGGAAGGTAAACCACCAATATCAGTGAGGCAAATGTCGGGGAACGTTTGTCAAGTTTTATTAAAAATGTTTTCAGATTACAAAATGAAGACAAAATTATTAAGGAGTTTTATCGATTTAGGACCTGAAAGATAGACGAATTATCAATCTGGACCTGAAAGATGAAATGTATCAGTATATGGCTTGAAAGATGAAAAACTATCAATCTAGGACCTAACATTTCATTGGTTTTGATTTATTTAATTTTTTATTAATTCCATTGTTAATATTTGGTGAAATTTTCTTTACAAAAGTTTATTAGTTTAATAAAACTAAATATTATTTAAATTTTTTAAAATAAAAATAATAATAAAATTTATGAAAACTTAGGTCCTAAATTGATAATTTTCAATCATTCAGGTCCTAGATTGATAGTTTTCCATCATTCGGGTCCTATACCGATACATTTCATCTTTCAGGTCCCGAATTGTTAGTTCGTGTATCTTTCAGGTACCGGATTGAAAAAAATCCTGTAACAAAACTAACTGGAGTGTTGGTAAAAATTTTGAGTCAGTGTTTGTTGTGTAGACTACTACTCTCGTAACCAGCAGCATGAGGTAAAATGTGGCATCAAATGTCTTACTTAGTGCATCCATCATATCCGGAATTTCTAGTAGAGCACCAAACACATATTTAGTTCCTTCAATTTCTAGTAGAGCACCAAACCCATTGAACCTCTCTATCTATAACATGTAACCAGACTTCGCGAATGACATAGACAAACTTATTTCTAATTCAACCCCATTTTGGACTCTTCTGACGGAAATGAGAGATGTTCAAGGCATCACAGAAGAATGAGAGATTAAAAACATGTTTGGCTTTTTCTAAATAGTAACACCACATTCATTCTTTTTTTGGTCCATCTCCACGCAAATGTCAAACCGAAAATAGATTGCAGAAGTTTAGAGAGGCATGCGAAGGAAATACATCGTTATTGAAAGTTGTGGAGAAATTGGGTTTGGCGATCTCAATGAAACAATGCAGATGAAGTTAACATCAATTTTGGCGATTGCGGTACCTTTTTAAAATTTATATATTGTAATGTCTACTTTTTGAATGTAGGGATTGTCATACTCTTTTATGTATATACTAGCATGGTAACGCGCTTTGCGCGAAATCCCATGCCCAACAATGAAAAACAAACAATAAAGCTGCGCAAAAACGCGTTGTGTGAGGTCAGAGCCCAACCGGGGGCAAAATAGTTAGCGAAAGCATCAACACAAGAAAAAACAAAAAAAACATAAGCAGGCGTACGTGCTTTGCACAGTAAAGTTCAGCAAAATAGCAAGAGTGAATGTAGCTAGCAAGAGAGCAATGTTGTAAAGAGAAAAGAGGAAAAAAAGAGCTAGTTTACCTGAATTCAAATTCAATGCGGAATTGCCCATCTCGTAATCCCATGCCCTTCTAGCATGCTGAATTTGTGCCAACCAAAGAGGTCATAGCAGCTAGGAAAAAGAAAGGAAATTAATTAATACTGGAGAAAAGGTGTGAGCTACAGGTACGAGGCAGAGGTAGGCGCTGATTACCTGATTCACTTGACAAATTTCCCAGACATTTGTTTCCCTGAAATGTTCTATTGCGAATCAAAACTATAGCAGACCATAAACACCAGACAACTTACTTTTGCTAATTAAGAGGAAAAACATCATATCAATTATTGTTTAGAAAATTATATATGAAGTGAAGCCAGAAGAGTTTTAGATTTTTTTATAATATCAAATTTGCAAAAGCTTTTTAATTTGCATTTCACCGAATTTAAAGAAAATAAAAGCCTTTTTTAGAGTTTTTTAAAAACACTCTAAAAGTTTTGCATTTGATGTCAACCTAATAAGAGTTTTTAAAGTGAGTTCATACATAAAATGCACGGTCATACCAAATCACATTTGCAACATTGGTATGATTAAAAGTTTAATTAAATTTTCGAAAAAAAAAACTCTTCTTCGATCGAAAGCTAAGTTGCATAATCATCCTATAAACGATGAGTAACCTGAAACATTGGGGTAATGCTGCAGCCTCCAGCAGGCATCCCAAAAACACGTACCTAGCCAAGTTGGTACTTAAAACGACCATGTCTGTGGCAAACAAGATATTAAGAGAGTTTTTAATTATTTCTCAAATACAATGATTAATTAATCAAGAAATAGGAATAGTTTGCAAACAGTCTATCAGAGCATCTATGATGCTATATTACAACCCAAAATAGTGTTCTAAGTTTTCGAGAGGGGTAATATGGTCAGATTTTCTTACCATGGCATTTAGATAAGCTCCCCTGAGTTTATGAGAAAGTAGACTACTTTTCCCCATCAGTAAACTTTCATTAATCCAAATTCTGATTAATTATATATGGTAACAAAATAAAAACAAAAACTTCCCCCACTCTGGATTCCACATCCATTTCAGAGTTTCCCACAGTTTCTATATCCCACAATCTAAAGAACGTTAGGAAAATAACACAAAAATGAGAGAGAAACTCAAATGATGTTAATTCTCAATCAAGAAAATTTAAGCTGCTGCAAAAAGTTGACACCTTTAGTTCATGCAGACATAAATATTTCAATGTTTAGAGGTATGTATGAAAACTGCAAAAAACATGTAGTTATATTATTTTCATATAGTTAAATTGGCTATAGAGAAACAACACAGTGTATAACTGTAGGACTGCTGGATATAATAATGTTGGCTAAAACATATGGAATAGATCAGACTTCAAAGAAAGAAAACAACACAGGCAGGCAATTAAGAGATAATAGAGGCAAATTAAAACATTAACTTTCAAGAAAACAGTAGCAATAGCTAGAGCTACTATACTTAAATGCATGTTACATTTTAAAAGGAAATTAAATGTTGATGGAATCCCAACTTTTTCTGTTGCTAGCCAGAAAAACAATGTTCAAGATTTGTATAAATAGGATTAAGTTGTTTAATTGCTATTTTACAATGGAGGGAAATAGATAACTGAGATTGGTTCCTACATCAAACTGTTCAAGATTCTAATACATCACTTATGGGAGTTTAGTCCTCAATATGCCTAAATCCATAGCACATTTACTGGTTTCTTTGTAGTTCTCAACCTCTATAAACAAAACTTCAAAAAATGCCTATTATACATGCATGCGTAGTCAAGATCGAGTGGTTCAGCACTTTAAACTTAAACCCAATACCACATCCAAATTCTCTAATGTGATGAAGCCAGCAAAGAGAATTGAAATGGAGTTACTTTTTTCAATAACAAGAGCAACAATAGTATGATATGTTCTCTAGGACTCAGCAACACATGATCATTTCCCATTAAAAATTAGCAGCTACACTCCACAAACCTTAAACTACAATTTAATGCGTTCAAAATTTACCTGCCACCACTCCATGGATCTAAGAGACTATTTGAGAAGATGATGCCACTCCCAAATGTCCCAAGAGCCGTTTTTATATCCTTCAAACACGATAAGAAACCATGTTTCAATGATAAAGAAAGATTAGATTGTTCACACTGTCAATAATCCAAGTTGCCAATTAGGTATAAAGATAATCACAAAATCGTTATTAGCATGCCATTTACAATTATTTATTTTTAATACATGTCTTAAAAATAAGAAGAAGAAAACACAAAATTGTAAAAATTAAGCTTAAATAAAAAGGCCTACCTGTCTGGTTTACACCTGGTAGAGAACTTTAAGAGAAAATAGAGAGAGACAACA